TTTCTCATCTCTATGTTTGCCCACCCTGCCTCATTCAGGGTTCCTCTTGGCACTGCCACCAACTCTGTTTTTTGCTTCTGCTCTCCAGGCCAGCTATGGGGTGGAAGATCCTGAGTATGCAGTGACCCAGCTGGCCCAGACCACCATGAGATCTGAACTTGGCAAACTCTCCCTCGACAGAGTCTTCCGGGTGAGCTGGGGAGGTGGACCATGGAGCTGCCAGCATCTCTCGAAACTCCGGGGCAGTCTGCATGGCCAAGCTGATACACTTAACAGCAGAACACCCTCTGCTTAGAGGGCTTTTGGCTTCTGTGTCAGTTGTGAATTGGATTAGTGAATTAGAAAGCATTAGCAAATCCTTGGAGATGGGTCTTGATTCGGTTATTTTGGGTTTTGGCTGACCTTGGCCCATGGTGGGGAGGTGTCTCCTGACCCCTGTCTTGTGCTAACGCCTCTTTGCTCTCTGCCATTTCTTTTGTGCCTCCCAGGAGCGGGAGTCCCTCAATGCCAGCATTGTGGATGCCATCAACCAGGCTTCAGACTGCTGGGGCATCCGGTGCCTGCGCTACGAGATCAAGGACATCCACGTACCCCCACGCGTGAAGGAGTCCATGCAGATGCAGGTTTGGTTCTCTGGGAGGGCGGTCTGGAACAAGAGGGAAGTCTCCCCTTCCACGCCGCACCATGGTTATCTGTCCAGAGCTGGCAGCGCTGGCCCCTCCTGTGGGGAGGGAAGCCCGCTGGCACTTTGGCTGCAAACGTACAGCTGTTGAATAAATAATTCCTGTCCTTATTTGGGTGGTGGTGGCCTCTGTCTGGTACACGTACATCCTGCCAGCTACCTTTAAAATCCCTACTGGGCTCTGTAGGAAGCAAATCCCAGAGCTGAAGGACTCCCCTTGAGAAAAGCCAGGTGCCAGAACTCCGAGCTGGAAGGGGAGGAGAGGGAAGCAGCTGTCTGGTTAGGTGTGGACCGAGCTGCGGAGCGCTGTGCAGTGTGAGGAGCAGAACCAGCCCTCACCAGGGGTCACGCAGTGTTTTGTAGCTGTGTTCTCATCCTTTGCTAAGCTATGCTTGCCCGAGCGGGACATAGGAGCGTGTCCTCGCTGTGCTGGCCCCACGGATGGGATTGCGTGGCCACGGCAGGCTGGTGTCTGACCTGTGTTTGCAGGTGGAGGCAGAGCGACGGAAGCGGGCGACGGTGCTGGAGTCGGAGGGGACGCGGGAATCGGCTATCAATGTGGCTGAGGGGCAGAAGCAGGCCCAGATCCTGGCGTCGGAAGCTGAGAAGGCCGAACGAATCAACAAGGCTGCTGGTAGTGCCTTGGGCTAGAACATGTGGGGCCAGGGGGATCTGCAGCCCTCTGCCCTGAGGGGTGATGCTCCCGGGGAGAGGCCACATCAGTGTCTATAGGACAGGCTTCCTCGGCCATGCTGGTCCTTCCCTCCTGGGGCCCTCGGGCTGAGCTCCAGCTGGTGTTGGCTGCCCCACAGCCTGGGGCAGCAGGAGGTGCATGGCAGGAGCATCGCCGTACTGCTGTTGGGGAAGAGGAGGCTTTGCATGCGTGAAATTGCCTTGATTTGCTCCTTGAAATTGCCTTGATTGTCTCCTTTCAAGCGCTTTGTCGCAGCTCTGATGTTCTGCCATGGTTTGTTGCAGGAGAAGCCAATGCCATGCTGGTCAAGGCCAGGGCCAAGGCGGAGGCGATTCAGCTCCTGGCAGCTGCTCTGGCGCAGCAGGTGAGTGACGGCTCCTCGGGGCGGCTGCCGCTTTGGCGCTGGCACTGGGGGAGGTGAAACCACGGCCGGGCTGGCACCGGGATTTTTCTTGGACACTCCCTGGCATCTCTGGCAGCAGTGAGCGAGTTTTGCTGTCCTGGGGACCGTGGCCGGCCGGGGCGGATAGGGGCAGGGATGGGCTCATGGTGGTCCGTGACTCGACTCGCTGCTGAGCCTCATCCCTCTCTCCCCAGCACGGCAGCGCCGCTGCCTCTCTCTCTCTCTGTGGCAGAGCAGTACGTGAGCGCCTTCTCCAAGCTTGCCAAAGACTCCAACACCCTCCTGCTGCCCGCCAACACCGGCGATGTCACCAACATGGTCGCACAGGTCAGTGTGGTCGGAGGGACCCCGTCTCTTACCTGGCGGGGGCAGGGGGGCAAAGGTGGCAGCCTGGCGGGGCCTGCCCTCTCCTCCCCTCCCCAACAGCTCTCGTTCCCCCCAGGCCCTGGGCATCTATGCCACGCTAACCAAGCCCCAGGCTATGAAGACGCAGGAGGAGATGCCCCCGGCCCGCGAGGACCCCCGGCCTCCCG